CCACGCAAACTAACCAGACAATGTAGAACCAAGAAATATATCAAACAGGTGATCAACACTACAAGACGCAAGCTTCGTAGTTGCATATACAAACATTGGTTCCCAGTCTAGCGAAAGTAAATTCAAATGGACCATGTCTCGTACGGTCCGGTAGTACAAACTTGAAGTACTGACCACGGAAACCTCACCTACCGGAGATGGGGCCGTTTAACCTGCAGGATGGGTGGTCATTTTGGTGGTCAGGGAACAGAAAATTACACTGTGCTGGTGTGGGTATTTACTTCTCCTCTGAAGGTAAACCGGGCGGCAATTTGCGTGGAACGGATGACGGAGAGAATACTGATCTGATGCGTAAATGTCAAACTGGCGACAATGAATGTCAACGTCGTATATACCCGGCAAATGTATCGCATAACAGCGAAAAAAGCGTTTTCTGTGACTGTTAGTAGTCAGCTATGAAAGCCTTGTGGCTTATGATGTTACAGTTGTCACAGGCGACTTTAAAACGACGGTGAGTGCCGAGTACATCACGTGGCCAGGCGTGTTCGACCGTCACGGTATTGATAGCGTGAACGACAACGGCGGCTTTTGCGTGACAAACAGCTCAATAGTCCACGTCACCGGTTTTCCCCATAAGCGTATTCACCAAATCATCTGAACCTTCCTGAGGGAAGCCTCAACACCCAGCTGGACAACCTCCTCATAGGCCGCAAATGGAGCAGCACGTTACTCGAGACTAGATGAAGCTTACAAAGACTTCGAAGAAGGCACTATTTCATCGATGAAAAACGTACTCGCGATCAGGAGGATGATAACCAAATTGCGCCGGGTTAAAGAGAAGACTGTAGATGTTAGAGGAAAAGTAACCAAATAAAGAAAAAGTAGTGGAAACGCTATACTGTGTCAAATAACTTATCGCCATTAGCTGGTGCAATCGGTTGGTGAACAACGCATTCAGTTGCTGCTGTTATGTCATCGTCATCTGAGATTAACAGAACTTCAACAACAGGGGGCCCCAGGCTCATGACATCTGATCGCTAGAAATGGTTGATATTAGGATTGCCATTAGGCAACGTTCACTGCTGCGGCAAAAGTCATATTCCCCAACGAGATGCTTCCACGTTTAGGACTGTTCTTCAACGCTCCAGTTCGACGGTTTTCAAGCGAAAACGGTTTTGAAAATATTTTGATTCCATTTTCAGGCAGTTTTATTAAACATAAGATCTTGCATCATTCGTGTTAACCACTGCCTTGAACCAGGGATTTGGAAACGAATGGCATAAACAGTCCAGCAAACGAAGATTAAGGATTCTGTTGTAAATTGACACCAAAAAGAAAACGATCCAAAATGCTGATCATGTCGTTCCTTTCAGAAAGCACGTGAACGAGCGGAGTAAAACGAGATGAAAACAAAATACAACATGCAGTGATTGTCGCCAACGTGAAGATGACCCCCTTGTGATAAATGATTATTTCAGGCAGGTAGCATGTAAAAGCTGACTGTCGAAGCATCATAAATTCCGGACCATCTCCTGCCATCAGATACGTCTAAAGTGGAAGCGGAAAACAGACCAACACTGTAGGCGTTACACAGCTTCGCTCAGCATTACTAAAAAGAGTTTCTTCCATGAGTAGTATTCTTACCGTCCAGAGGGTCATTTTTTGATGCGCATCGAAGTTGTTCAATGTGATTCCATAACGTCGTAAGTTCCCCATTCCGCGAAAACGTTTTTGGAAATATACGCCTCAGTCTCCTTTTGGACATGAATTGAAGGCCCGGGCCGTCGATGCGATTTCTGTTGCACAGAACTTCGATGTGCTGCGACAATCCGACTTTTCGCAGCCATTCAGCAACGTCTTTGGTGGACCAGTCTTGCAAACGAGTGCCCATCTAAAGTTTAACTTTAATTAGGTTAATCTTGATTCGTACTTGCCATATGCTAACGGCTTTAAGACGCAAATGAACGATCGTATTCTAACGCTAACTGCGACTGTCAAAAAAATTAACAATGCGGAAATTAGCAAAACTTCAAGAGCTGAGAACGTTCATAACGTACAGATATGACTAGGTAGCAATGATGCAATCTTGCGAGTAGTTTATGAATGACATTATACAAGAGAATTTGCCATTAATAGCATGCAACTGCTCTTTAACTGAAAGCGAATCTCTCGTCATCAAGAGGATAGAAGCACTGTTCACAAGCTCTTTAAAGAGTCCTTTCCTCTTGTCTGACGATTCGTAGTTTAGTTTTCGCTCCATATATTCACATGTTTAATTCGTCAGAGATATTAAGGAAGGCAAGAATCCGAATCAGGTGGTTTGGAAAGAATGACGATTGCAATAAAACTAACTCCCTCACACTCAGTATCTGGGGAACAGTACCGACGTTTCGGCCAGTATCCGATGCGCATACCTCGAGGTAAAGAGGTGCCTGAAATTCGAAAGTTGTTCTTGAGATCTCAGCAGTTCGAAGGTTGAGAACTAGAAGGACTTCTAATATAAAGTCTTTAAGGTCTTCTGACTTCGAACATACGAACGCTATAGACGACAAGAAAACTTCCAAAGCTCACACACCTTTTGATCTTGGAGGACCGAAAGACGCGGACTGAAACGTCTGTACGCGGTGTCATCCATACGACTTACCAATTATCTGCGTTGTGTCTACGTAAACCGCATTTTGCGCTAACATTATCAAATCACGCTCGTCTACTGGTAACATAAGCAAGTATCAATAATTTTCATAAATATTATGTTAAATATTACACAGAGAAAATAGAACTAAAAACCTCGATGTTCTGAGGCAGCTACCAAGAACGGCTGCTTAGCGATTCCACCGGTAAATATATTTCTCTAACTACTGATGCCAGATTCACGAGGCGAAGACTGTAAAATCAAGTCACTTTAGAGCAACACTGCGGTAGTGAAAGACGGGTGACAATCAATAGAAAAGAAAAGGAGAGTTTGCAGCCGTTAGAACCTCAGTCTTTCTTACACCAACATGATGTCGCCTATCCAAGTACCCCTATTTTCATGAAGTTAACTGTGGGGAGAAAGGCAGATCGCCATTTACATGCCATCAGCAAGGAGTGCCTCATTTGTTAAGGCAGAATCGACAGCACAGCCTAGTCTGTACTCCCCTGTTTCCTTCACTCTCATTTCTCAACCTCGGAAGTAATAAGAGTGACTCTGACAGAGGCTCAGTCCCAGAATCTTTCGGTTCTGAGTCCGATGCTTTACTGATTGAGTAACTCCGATCTGAAGCAACGAGCGGCAAATTCTTTGCTCAACAGAATTCGTGATAAAGGCAATAATTGCCTGACGTAAAAATCGAACTTGGTGATTCAGGAATTCGAGTTCGAAGCCGACAAACGGTGTCACAATGCCAGTCATTACCCAAGGTTATACCGCAGTAATGCGCCACCCTTACTTCTAATTGCAACATTTTGTCAACAGATAGTAGCAGTTTTGTTGGTGCTCGAATAAGCTACTGTTCAGCCCTATTCAGAAATGCGGTCATACGTCCTTTTCACTGAAGGCACAAAAATACCATAAAGTCGTGGCCTGCTTAAACGGTTGCCCTAGGCGACTAGAAGCAAGAGGCGCGACATTACTGTGGTAAAACCTGGTCCAATGACTACCACCTTTCGTACACTGCCGTAGGATCGCTGCAAAGTAAGTAATTTTACCTCACAGTTTTCGATGGATAAATGAGGTCTCAGTTTCTAAAAGAATACTATACAAATACTAAATTATGCAAATATGACTCAGAAT